GGGCATCCTTTGACGTCGTCCTTCGGTTCGACGAACTACCCTTCCGTGAAGCCCACCGGGCCGAGAATAGGTGAGTTTTTTTATTCTTGACTATAATTCTTGACATTCACAACTGAACCTGCTGCTGTCTTCGGCGAATTCGGCAACCGCGTCGTGATTCTTTTAAGCATACGAAGTTGTATGCGCCTTGAAGTTGTAGGCTTTTCCCCCTGGACGTGACTCGCGGAAACGCCTTGAAAACCGGCAGTTACCGGCAGTCTAACCTCAACCAAGAAACGTCTGTCATCTTTGCCGTCCAATAAGATATAAAATCTCCACTTACGGCCCGGGTAAACTCATTTTTTTTAGCTACGTAGCGGGATTCGACACCCGCGCTCGCTGTGTCGCGGGGCGACGCGGTTTTGTTTATCTCTCAAAATGGCGGATATTACCCATCATGCATTTCGCGCCGGTAATGGCGAATAGGCTTATTTCTCCAGTCCTCTGGTACTTCCCCCCGGTTCCAGGCATTGTTGCAGAGCTGGCACATCCATTTGACAACGGATTCCCTTCCAGCTTTTAGCATTTCTGCAGTAATGCCGTCCATTCCTGGGGACTTGTTGTTCTTCAGGTTCTTTATGGCCTCATGTATTTCCGGCTCAGTAAAGTCACTGGTGTCAATCGGGAGGAGGTGAGAAGGTGGGTCGGTGACTGCTGGTGAGGTTGGGTCTGGTCTGTTTAGAACTTCCTTGAAGTGCTCTGCCCACCTGGCAAGCTTGTCCTCTCCTTTGGACAACAGGGTACCATCTTTGGCCTTGACAGGACCCATGCTAGCTTTTGAGTTGCCAGTGATCTTCTTAGCGATCTGATATACGGTACGCATATCATTCCGAGTTGCGGCTCGTTCTGCTTCATCAGCCTGACTCTCCAACCACTTGCGCTTGTCCCTTTGGGCGCTGCGCTTAACTTCACGGTCTTTATCGGAGTATTCCTGATATATACTACTACTTGCCGACTTGGCCTTATGTCTCCTCTGATGCAGTGTCTTCCTTTCGTTGATCAGCTTCCAAGTTTCGTCGCTGATCCACGCTTCCCTGAGGGATTTCTTGTAGCCGAGGACTTTCTCACCTGCTTCTTTCATTGCTTGCTTAAGTTCATCCCACCATTCCACAGTTCCCGGTGGGGGACTGCCAGGACAGAGAACCTGTTTCTCAGTAGAGATTCGAATTGGTTTTCCTTCACAGGGTCTTTTAGCTTGTTGGTGTCAAACCTTTTGGGCATGGAGGCTTTCTTCTTCTGTTTCTTTAACTTGACCTTGACTCTTGCAATGGACAGATAGTGGTCACTACCGGCATCGGCACCACGGTACACACGCACGTCTTGCAGGCATGGTACTCTCCATCCTGGTCCAATAGCTAGGTGGTCAATTTGTGTTTTAGTTGTGTGGTCATTGGATATCCATGTGATCTTATGTATGTCTTTGTGTTCGAAGTAAGGGTGAGACATAATATAAAGTTTACATCATTTAAAATCCTAATAAATCTATACAGTCACACACAAAATGTTTCTAAACATACATGGTAAAAACATACTAGTACAATTATTATAAGAGTGATAGCTTGTATATGCCATTTGGGTTTGTTTCACATTCTGTGAGTAACTGTTTTTGCTCAACCGTGAAACAATTTCCATCTTGCGGTTCTTCCCTATCTCCCAGGCGAGCCCGTCCCTCAGCACACCTACCCCAGACCTGCAGCAGTTTGCCTACAGTCCCGTGGCCAAGAGGAAGCTGCAACTGGAGAAGTATAACCAGCCACAAGTCCCCGCCACGCCGGCGAGGGGCTGGGACCACCTGGACTTCTATCACATAAATCGGGGGCAAGACAGCAAGATAGAGCCTGAGCATACAGCTGAGGATTGTTAGTGGGCTCAAAATACTTTTTCTGCATACCTTTTTGCTGTTGTTTACGTTTTGTGAAGTTTGCTTTTATTGTTGTTATGTGCGGATAATAAAATCAATGAAATCAGATATCTGGCTGCACTGGTGCAACATTGAAAATTACCTGCACCAGGCGAATTTTACCTGCACCACTCAAACATTGAGAATTATGGTACATTGTAACAGCAGTGAATGTAGCCAATAAATATCCAATACATACATTGTACACCAGTGCATTTATTGGTTAGGTGCAGGTAGACATCAGAAATACCTGCACAGCTCCAGTGTACCTGCACTTTTTAATGTCTAAGGTGCATATGCACCCAGTATTTCGAGCCCTGACTACAGGATTGTGTAGATAGTAAAGTTTACATGCTGGTGTAATACATGATTTTGTAGATGATATACATTACACATACATGTACATGGGTCACAGGCAATGTCAAGATACAGCATTCACCCACAGCCAGTGTGCCATACAAGTTTGGCTGATGATTAGATCAAGAAGGCCTGCAGAGAATTTGGAAACTGGTGATCATTCATTTCAAAGAGTTCAATGACTGCACTTAAGAGTTCAATGACTGCACTTGTTTGCAGCACCTCTAATTTCTCATGAATTTGTGATTGCATTTGTGGCAGCTATTTTATTTTAACTTAGTTGCTGTTGGTTAATCTTAATTGTGTGCACCTGCAGTCTCTGGCATTTCTGCAAGCAATGACCTTAAATTTCCATCAAAAAACTTATCCATAGTTAGTCTTAATTGTATACAGTAGTGTTGGTCTTGATGAAATCAACAGGAATAGCAACAGAAGATAAAGTTCACTTTATAATAAAGCTTTTTTTTAATGACAGATGAAGAATTCATGAATGATGACACCTTACCAGATTTGAGCACCGTGTGGACAGCAGACTTGGACATAGACCAGCAAGACTGGGATGTCTTACCTGAGGAACAAGGTTAGTCTGTTTCCCTGATTTTCTGTGTACACTTTTGTTTGTTTGTGCCTTTATTTATCCTCCAAAACTGCTCTATTCGGCTATCAGGACCATCAATCATAGAGTACATAGTTGAAGAGTTCAAACTTGTTCCAACACAAGGAAGAAACCATAAATCTAAAAAAGGTTGACGGGACCAGCCGAAAATTTATATCAAGTTTCTTCCTTGTGTTGGTCCAGGAACAAGTTTGAACTCTCTGTGTATGGATTCTACCAACACAGATGAGGTTTCATTCGAATCATAGAGTACATTCATCAATATACAACAAAACAGTAACAAGGATAGTGTGGCTCTGCACTCATTTAGTTTTAACAGCACCAAGTTTGGAGTTCAAGTTTAGAGGTGTGTCAAATACAACAGATGTTTGGTCAAAATGGACGACTTGAAATACCGGTAATCAATGATACAATGAATTACTAAATATTGATAATGAATAATAATTCATCAAATAATTAGGTCCATAAATCATTTGATAAGGATCAGTTACAGTGACAATACTAGTAGTCTTTCAAAGGTTGTAAGTTAAGATGCTGCTCTTTTATTGCATTATTTGATAGCCTAATGGTCCCTTGTGTATCCATGTAGTGTATCAAATATTTTTAGAAGCAGCGGAATGGTGTCTAAACTTCCATATGCCTGTTTGAACCCCATGATCAACCCATTACAGGCCACTGGGGAAGCCAGTCAATTTTCACGCATACTCTATGCAAATCTTCAAATGCCAATTGTTTTACTTGATTACTTACCGGAGTAGTCAACAAGGAAGAGATCAGCATAGTGTACTAGCGCTAGAATATTATCATGAATACCAGGCTAGGAGTAGCTTCCATAGCATGCCAAAAACTGGGGTTTGGGGGGTCTTCAGGGTCTTTGGAAGCTTTTATGTGCTATTTTCTGATTGCATATAGACAACCTTTACGGCCTAGACGGCCTGGTTGAATTACCCCCGTTAGAACTGGGCTAATCAGAAAACAGCCGAAGACCACCAAACCCCCAGTTCTATAAGCCTGCCACGGAGGCTAGCTAGGAGTTTGAGACTACATGATAAATGTTGATGACAGTGATGGAACTGTTACAATAGAAATTGTCTTCATTTAGGGACATCCTACATAATCCTACTACAGATCACTGCTGTATGGATTGCCAATCTTTAATAATCATGCATTGCCAACACATTAGGAATCAGAGCATATCCCTTGCTGCTGCAGCATACATATACCCAATATGAATCAAATCTACTGCACGACAAAGACAGATTGTCTTCTTGACCAGAATCTAAAGATTTCTTTGGTTCGCCGGCTTGCAAGTCCATTTTTGCCCAAGAAAACGGCTACCCGGTCTATCGTCCGCAACAAATGACCTACAAAATTGTCCGGCTTGCTTTACAAATGAGTGCAGGACCGATAATGTTTGAAACCGTTCCTGTTCTTCCCACCCTGCAGATTGCGTCCCCTGGTTGGCAGATGGCCAGAGATCTGGTGTGGATTTCTCAACTTCCAAGACCAGGCTGCAGACCAGCGATACCGACGTGTATCAGCTGCTGCAAAATGAAGCCACTTCTCCTTTGCAGTGGGAAGACCAGAATGCAAAGGAGAAGTCAAGTAGATTCAACTTTAAGCAGAAGTTGTCATCTTCTCATAGGTGATTTCCTGCATTCATTCATCGATGCTTTAAACAATGTTTAGAGTTAGATGTTCAAGGGTTAGGTGTAACAAGTTGTTTGTTGTAATGTAGCCAGCAGCTGCCATGCCACATGCCTGCAAAACTCGTTGTGCAGAAGGTTGGTTATATCAGCTATATTGATACAGATACAGAAGCGTGTTTGTCATCCAACTTTGCAGTACTGAATTTTCATCAATTGATTAAGTTGATCCCTAAATGCCAAACCGGCTGTAATCAAAAGATGCATCTGCCAATTAAGCATGACAGAGGATATATAAAAAACATTGAAATATGGTGTGTCCTATTTGACTCTAAGACTTGTATGTGGTGTTCATTTGAATCACTACTGATTGAATGTATAATTGCATTGCGTTTTAATGATCTTCCTCCACCCTTTGATAAATAGGAGCCCAGTCATTCAGAACCAGGTGGCAGCAAGAGGTGCCAAGAGGCAGACTTCTGTCAGCTCAAGCATGCAAGGAAGAGCTCCCCTGAGGCCGTGCCAAGATCCTGTTTGGTTAATATATTTCTTAGTTTCAGTTTCAGTTTATTCATTTTACCAGAAGGTTACAGTCAGGTCGTTTGACCTGTTTTTCAGGTACTTCTGGGACCAAACAATACACAAATCCATACATACAATCCATACAAATCCAATAGTGCATAATCATAACGATACAGTATAATGCACAATAATAATCATACAACTGTGCTCACTGAATCTTAGGAAATATCAGGTCCAATTACAAGTACAATGAGTTTTTGAAGGCCGTTAAAGTTGTTAGTTTTCTCTGTTCTTTGGTGAGCTGATTCCACAACACTGGACCCTGGTACTGCAGGCTCCCTTTGTATGCTTGTTTGATTGATTTGTATCCTTCTGCGTTTGATGTTTGATTGTTCCCTTACATAATTTCATTAGCCAGTCTTTTGATTTTTTTGGCACTTGTTCAAGTTCGAAATTGATAATGTTGATGTCTAAATTTGCATTCTGAAAATCTTGTTTGGTTAATTCATTTCTTAAGTCTCTGCACTGTTTATTTGATTGATTTCCTTCCACGTTAGATGCAAATTGTCCCCAATATGATAGGTAGTAATTTCATTAGACAGTCTTTTGATTTCTTGGCACGTGTTCAAGTTCAAAATTGATAGCGTCAATGTCTGAATTTGCATTCTGAAAATTATGTTTAGTTCATTTATTTCTTAGTCTTCACTGTTTGTGTGATTGATTAATAATTTCCGTCCATGTGTAATGTTTGGTTGTTCCCTTACATAATTTCATTAGCCAGTCTTTTGATTTTTTGGCACGTGTTCAAGTTCGAAATTGATAATGTTGATGTCTAAATTTGCATTCTGAAAATCTTGTTTGGTGAATTCATTTCTTAAGTCTCTGCACTGCTTGTTTGATTGATTAATTTCCTTCCACTATATACATGTACTCGGTAGTAATTTCATTAGCCAGTCTTCTGATTTTTTGGCACATATTCAAGTTCGAAATTGATTATGTCGATGTCTGAATTTGAGTTTTGAGATAAATCTACTTAATGAAGCTTTTGGCAAAGGACATGTTCATTGCCATCTGTTCTATAAAGATATGTATTACAGTTTGCAAGTAGATATGAACATAGATGAAGATTGAAACTGATCTCCTGATTTCTAATTTCTTATACATGATACATATTCATTTTACGTAGACAAGGATATAAATAAGTTGCATTGTATCTTATTACATACCATTAGTTAATGCTTGAAGTTCTCAGTCCTTGAATGATAAAATATGGCTTGAATGGAAATCTATGGCGTAAGCAGTTTATAAAAATACCGGCAGCAGAATTGAAACAGTTCTTACTTATAAATCAATGATAGTCTTAACTAACTTCTGAGTGTGAGATATTTAGATATGCTGGATAAATTCTGATATTGAGCAAATTCCTGAAACCAATATCTATGGAGCCACCGAGTGATCAAATTATTCTGCCCTATTCTGAAACTAGGCGTAATGATATCCAGGCAAAGAGGGAAGTCACTGAAACCACCTGGGAGGATGATGATGACGATCTTTTCGGAATCGCTGAAGCAGCAATACCTGGTTCGTCCTTGGGTACATATGTGTCAGCCTCAATTAGTTAGTCATTGATTACTGCATTAGGAACACAACTCTTGCATGTTGATATGTTGGGGTGCCGTCTCACTCTGTTCACAGTTGAGGTGTCAACCGTAATGCTTGATTTGATTTATTGAAATTATTGTAACAATACAATACATGTGGGACAAAGGCAGCTGTTGCTGGTGTTGTGTCCCACACATAGAAACTAATACAGGACAGACAATACTCATTTTCACTTGAGTTAAGTGGGGAAAGTCGTGTTATGCTAAGATTTATAAGAAAAATGCACTTCCATAGTGGCACCACAACAATTACTCTTCATTACTTTCTTGTTGCCAGTGATATTAACAGTTAATTCCTGGGTTGGAGTACATTTGAAATGTATATTACCTACGAGAGGGGATTTGTCATTTGGTGCCTTTTTATAATTGCCAAGGTGGATGAAAATGTTTCCCATTATGTGTTGGTATGTTTCTTGGTCTATTGTTAAAAGGAATGTCCAGAAAATAAGGATTTTCTTTTACACAATGTGTACTTCTCTCACCTTGCTGACATTTCAAGGAAAGTCCAGAAATTATACACTTACATTAGCCACTGTATTGACAACTTTCAGAGTCTGTGGAAACTCAAGAGGACTCACCACACAGAGAAGCTCATCCTCCATCACAGCACCCAAGGACACCAGAAACTGGATCCATCAGGAGGCAGGGGAAGGTGTTTGCATGGAAAACTCCGTCTGCCTCTAACCTTCCTAGTGCCAGGACATTCGCGTACCCAAAGCCAACTGTAAAGGCCCCTGCATATACAGTTTCTTTTCCACATTCTGCACAGAAGGAACACTCTGATGATGAGCATGATACAGGGTGAGCTTCATAACGAAGTATTCATTTTTTTTGATAACCAGTAAAATCCTTTAGGCATAGCACACCAGTACGTACAAGCTGCATAGGACTGTAATGTTTGAACCACACAAACTGGGAAAGGCCCCCTACTCTTTTCAGTAAGTTTCAATGGCATTTTGCTGTAAAGAAATTGAACTTTGAATTCACATACCACCATTTCATTTTGTCTGAGGAAACAAGCACAAGTAATATGAAATGTTTTAATCCTGACTACCCTTGTGTAATGTATTGAGGACCCTAGCATTTCATGGCACCAAGCCTTCGGACTTAACAGCATAGACTTGATTGATTAATTGAATGGCTGATTGACACCTTAAATAAAATGGCAGCTTGAAGAGAGGAAACCATGATGCTAATGATGTGTGGTGTCTACAGATGTGTCCTTGACCATCAAAATGAAGTGTTATTATTCTCTTGTGAGTAATTTCTGATTTATTATCCATTAGGTTGACTGCTGTTGGAACCCCCACGACAGGGAGATACAGGACTTCTGTGCCCCCTCCTTTTACCCCAGGGGCAGACGACTTCTGTTCTGCAAGGGAAATTCACGAGTCTCAAATGTCACAAACCACCAGGTGGTAACCATTTTTTCAGAGGGCACTTATCCATCATTATTGTTCATACCAAAGTGGGGATTATAAAATAACATGTCTGGCCTACGTATGTGATGATGATGACGATGTGGCAAGTGTGTTTTATGTATCTTCCTTCTTTCACAACTCTTTGTATCCCTGTATCACATGAAATACTAGAATATAGTATTGGCATGAAATACTAGAATTAAGTATTTCATGGCCTGTTACCGGTAGTGCATCTTTTCTTTCCTTTCTTGAGGCAGACGTATAAGCTTGAAAGTTTGATCGAATTGCTTCTTCTGATACTAGTAGCAGTCGTAGCTTGTGAATTCTGATCCTATTACACTGTAAATGATACTCCTTGATACTTTTTTTAGTGCTAACAAAGAAAAGAAAAATCAGTACCATACAAGAGGAGAGTAAAGTTGAATAGTACAGTAGAGAAGAAGAGTAGAGTACAGGTCACGTTGTGAGGATTTCAGCTGGTAATTCACTTCCACAGACAGAAACATTATTGACTACCTCATTTAAGAAGACTTTGTAGCATCTGAAAAGAATCATAAGCCTGTGTGCATAATTAGCTAATTTGTATTCCTCCATAGGGACAAGAGGGATGGCTGCAGGGGAAAATGGGCAAAGGGTGCGTCTGAGGTCAAGGAGGTCAACAGCAATAAAATCAGCACCAAGGAGAGAGCCTTCGCTTCTACTAGGCAGCTTGCAGAGGAACATTTTCCTTTGAAAGAGCACCTTTATCCAGTGGGTATTTCCTCCTAACCTACATTTTTGATTACTCTTCTCATTTTTGTACAACACAAGTAGATAATATTGCCCCAAATATGCAATAAAATCAGCACCAAGGACAGAGGCTTTGCTTCTGGTTAACAGCTTCAAAGGAGGACCTTTATCTAGTGGGTATTTCCCCTTACATTTCATTTTTGATTACTCTCCTCATTTTTGCACAACATTAGAAGCTAATATTGCCCCAAATATGCTGTTTCCCATAAATTTAGATGGTTTCTTATTCACCTTGGTGAAGGTTAGACATCCAGGAAATAAGATACGCCAAAAAACAGTTACTCATTGACAAGCAACTGGATATGTTTTTGGAAATGGTCTTTACGGACTGTTTCCAAAATCATATGCAGTTGCTTGAGTAATGGTTTTGTTTTGGGGTTTTCGTATTTAGGTCTTAAGATGTGTAGTTATTTGCAATATATATGATGATTTCTACAATGGAAAAGATGTTTTTGTCTTCTCCATGTACTCTCCAAACAGAGGTTGGTGGGAAGATTATTACCTTTCTAATATGCCCCATTTTTTTTCTTTCGCCACCCCCACCAACCAACAGGGCATTACTATTATTTGTAACGTAACAATCTACCCCACTAACACTGCTTGGAGAGTATTTTCCATTCAGTGGAAAATTAACATGCTTGTACATGTAGATGTTAGCAAGGGAACAACTATGATTCCCTTGAAAATAAAGATAAATATTCCGCACAGCATCCGACAGTCTATAAATAAGGATTAGAGAAACCTTTGCTACGGGTCAACTTAGAATTTCGGAAGCATGAATAGCAGATAAATTAGGTCCATTTCTCTTCTAGGACTCTGAAAGTTATCTGTGTCTGTGCAGATCTGAGCCTCCATGCGGCATATATTAATACTTGACATTTCACAATGGGGCGTCACAATCCTGCAGGCCACACGAAGATACACCGTAATACTGCTGTGGAGCGTAACCTTTGATATACTCCAGTAATGACACCTTCCTTGGGTGGGCATGAAAGCAGAGCTCGGGAATCACTGCATTGATATCTGCATTTTGCAGGCAGGGAGGGGGTTTCACTTTCTGTGGTCATAGTGGTACTTTGCATTTAGAATAGTCTTGAGTATTTTCACATCAGGTGTGCTGGACAGCATTACAGTAAATGACAGAGAGGTTTAACTGGACAAAATGTAGAAATTGAGAAAAAGATTACCACATAAGCTGCAATGGCCAAGCGGATAAAGTCGCCACCTTGCAATCGGTAGATTGTAAGTTCGATCCCCAACCGAGTCATACCAAAGGCTTTAAAAATGGTGCATACTGCTTTCTCTGCTCAGCACTCAGTGTTTGAGACAGAGTATGGAAGTTAAACAAACACCCACCACTACCAGTGGACTGGCTCCCCACTGTAGTGATTGCACAACTGTGTGACTCAAGGGCTATGAAACAGATGGGCACCACCATATGCGACCATACTCATGATGACAGAGGGCTTTAACTTTAACACAAGCTGTGTACAAGAGGACAGATAAGGGTGTCTTTTACAGAGTGTTTACATTGATTGTTAAATGTGTTGCAGGGTGGCACTAGTACTTCTGAAGATCCAGTGAAGTCTCCTCCAGAGGCTTTTACAGTGGACAGTTTTCTGACCAATGATGAGCCACGCTCCATACTGAAGAACTCGGGACCAGTGTTATCCAAGAGAGACTCTCCTGAAGTGGTGGCTTTCAACAAATCACTGCCATCTTTCTTCACAAATGCAGACACAAGGTTAAAATGTTTTGCCATCAAAGTTCACCTGTGTTGGTAGTTACATGTTTAACTTAAAACTTTTGATCCAACACCAGAGACTGTTCTCACTTAGAGCTTTCATGCATACAGTCATTCTGGTCTTTTTCAATTGACTCGGACCCAGTGATACTTTTCACATGGCTTCTCTGAAGTGTGACATAAACACTGGGTCAATATGTTAACATGTTTCATTTTTCATGATTCTTTGAATGTATAGCTGTAACAATGATTTTAAAACCATACTTGCTGGAGAAAATTTACAATGATTTTAGGACACTTAAGTACATAAATCATCAGTACATAAAAAACATGATGATCTTCTATTTCAGGTTGGAGGATGCTGCAGCTGAGGCTCAGGACACTTTCAACAGCATCTTTGCTGGGATATTTTAAGGTACAGGCTGCAGAGTCCTTAGTTTCCCATACCACCTGAGTCACCATCCGTATCTTGTTCACTTCCAACACAGATGAACTTTCATGCCAATTCATCACCCACTTGGTTACATATCACATATCATAGTTGTGGGGAACATAATCAAAATTAAATACCAACGAAGGCATTCCCTAGGAGATGCATGGAAGAGCACAGAGTTGAAAGTTTATGAGAATGAATGAGGAATTTGGCATGTGACAGTATTTAAAGAATTGAATGTGAATGTTTCTGCTTTGTCCTACCTTAAAATGAATGTTGCAGTAGGTTCATGAAAACTACATTCTCCTCAGCTAACCTTTAGCACAAATGTCCTTCATCTTTCTTTATGCAAGGAGGGAGCAACTATCCATGATTGCATTTCATTTGATATTGATAGCGCACGGGATACAATAGTTTACGATAACAATCCATCAATTATCGGTGACATTTCTGGGTAATTTCCCAGGGTGAAAGAACCTACCATGGCATTTTCAGTTTGCACCACCGTTGATACTATCACCAATGTATTTCCTGGTACAGTTTTTATGACCAGCAATGAAGATGAATTACAAAATGCTTCAGCAAATCTCTTTTAAGTTAAAGAAGATAACTATTTCCACACAGCCATCCCATGGGTGCGAATTATAACAAGGCTGTTAGGAAATTTTGCTTTTAATATTTTTTTCATAATATTGAATGCATGAGAGATCTTTGTGACACAAACTAACAAAATTTCCGGGTCGGAGAGTTTGAAACAAAAAGGGAGAAAGATGACTGCTTTATGTCCTTGCAGGAAGGTCATATACATGTAGCAGAATTTGAGGAACAACTTAAAGTCACAAATGGAGTATGCTGATTAGTCTTGGGTATCAAATTTTGTTCATAATAGCGTGCAACGTGCCTGTAGATATTGCAGACATCTTCCAAGAATACTGACAAGCGTATACTAGTATATTACACTAAGTCTAACTAACTATACCTGTACGTGCCCACACGCCTGCTTCTCTGATTGTGTTTGATGATGTTATTAGCTCTCACCATGTTATTGCCTGTTTCCTTGATAAGTCTGCCATCCTGGGGACTCGGTTACGTCTTGCACAATGTTTTACAGAGTATTAGGGGCGACTCCAATTTGTCAATCCTCTGCCCTTCCATTGACCGTGACACTGTATTCATGTGTCACATCAAGACATAATATATACTAATATGGTTCGTGTTACTATCTATACATAATACTATGTTACTATCGTATAAATAATACATTTTTCTATACAATTTAGTGTGTGGAAGCTGTTAAGAGAAACATACAAGAGGTTTATGGTTGAAGTATGAATGGTAGATATAGTATGATTAATTCACATACCTTGTATTGAGATTGTCAGTGCTTCAGTTATGTTGAGGTTATGTGCAGATTTTATGGTTTGCTGTACTAGAAAATATGATGTTGAATGGATTTTAGATTTCTACAATACATTTCTCTATGGTAGATCAGATAGACCTATTTTGGTTCATAATGCCTTGCAAATGTTTGTTTCTTCAGTGGTTTTAAAAAGATAAATTTAGAAGTCAATTTAGAGTTTTATTTTAGTTTTTAATATCATATCATCCACTTATACTTTTGACCATACATTTATTATGTGATATATTACAATCACCTTTTTACAATCAACATAAATTTTAGAGCGTGGAAGTATCAAATGATATATTATATGGTGTTCACATACCTGACTTAAATAAGGTTGTAAATATTGAAAATTCAAAGGTTGCAGTTTGTGTAAAAGTTGTAAAGCATACTTTGAAATTTACGTTGTGATTTTATATATATTGTGACAGTTGTTGTTGTTCCTGCAGACTTTATTGAGCGCTGACATTTCCAGAACTCGTTAAAATAATCACAATCATAAAGTACATTCTCCCGTAATAGTCGGCTTTATATGCCTCATTACATAGCATGTGAGTGAAAAGACCAGGCACTGTGGAAATCATGATTCTTACCACTCGTCAATTTACCTGATAACTGTAGCAAAGGTCATGTAGGTAGGAACCCTCGTAACTTTTCATCAGGCCATGTTGGTTTGATTATGTGGAAGGCATCCTCCTGGAAACCCAAAACTGATGCCAGTGTGCGAATAAAAAAAGTTGCCTTCATTATGAAATCTACCCAATTTGAACAAATGATAATATATGAGGAATAATAGACTCATCATTTTCATTCATTAACATTTTATTCTTTTCCTTTGGATTGATTTTGACATTGTACCATTTATAGTATCATTTTCCATCATATTTTTTTCACTTTACGGCATAAAGTTTTGGCATTTGCAGTTTTGGCATTTACGGCATTTGCTTTGTACGGTTTACATAGAGTATGGTTGAAAATTGTATGTAAATTTGTACAAAGTAGCTGTAAAATGCCCGTTCCAAAAATATAGCTTTTAACTTGAAAACTTGTTTTTTTGGAAGCGGGAAAAATTCATGCATGTGCAGGGATGTCATCCATATAATCAAATCAACATGGCCTTAAGGAATAATGATGTGTAAGCGGCTGTAAACGCCCACAAGGCAGATGATGTATAGGAAGCTCATAAACTCCAGGAGAGGTGGCAATGTACCGATCTATCGCAGCACGTGCGTAGCTCGGGTGAGGTTACTTCCTCCATCAGTTATCACCGAGGATCCATCAGCCAGACAAATCAGGCGGATATCTAAGCAACTACGTTACCCTCCGCGACCCGCATTTCCATCTTTTTAATCCGCGTGATCCTGCTCCGGGCGATCCTGGGTCTCGGAAGGCCGTTTGCAACAAATTAACGCCGCATTATACAGTCACCTTCCTGCCCTGCCGGCTTGATTATACTGGGGAGGCGGCTTGTTGTGTTGGCAATGATGTTCACACCGGTCATAATCTGGAAACTTCTAGATCCACACACGATGAGGTGAACGTGAGGGTCCCGTTGTGCATGGTACGAGTAGTTAAAATGTGCTTGATATGACGAGGGGGACACTCAATATTCTTTCATGTCTAATGCCATCCATCAAACTAATGGATGGTGTTAAACATTGATCCTCTCCCTTTCGTTTAATGATGTTTACCTTCTCAGAAGGGAAACATATCATTTTTGCTCTTTTTCTCCTTCCGTTCCAAACAAATAAGGTCAATGAGCTGGCTGGACAAGACGGTTGTCACCATGGTAACTGGTGCTGTAGCAGAAACCCTGTGGTGTTAGGTTACAATTGTTTTTGTATTTGTTAGGCTAGACCATGTGAAGATAAACATATATCTTGTTGTATTATATTGTACCAGAAGTACGAGTTTTGAATATCTCAACGATGGAATCATTTGCAGTCCATCTGCACTCTGTGAGTGATGCTGTCAAGTTTTCTGTCATATCCCCTAATTACTTTTCTTGTCAGGTACAGTCCCGGAAATTTTATTGTTCAGCCATACAGATTACATGTACATCGCAGTAATAGTACACTCTATCACTGACATAACATCTTTACAGCACTAAAGTACATCTTACCAAAATGCCATGTACGCATTTCCAACGATAAAACGACAGCAGTTGAATGTCAATGTGACTTTGAATCGTTGTTGATCGTTAAATGTCGCAGTACGTGGCACAAATGTTAACACATGTGACTATACATCAGCTGTACATGTACAAAAATCTTCACTACTTTAATCCTCCATTTAGATAGAAATTCCACAGTACGTTTTTTTTACCAAGTTGGATATTTCCTGGTCAGCAATATGTTAGTGCTACACAATGTACTGTTCACTATACACAACTAGCTCACCCACATGGAGCGTTGTCACCAAGTATAAGTCACAGTACGATAGATATTGGTACAGTACTTCTAGTCGTTTTCTAGTCTTCGCATTAAAGGTTGGTCAATGAAACGTCCAAACTGTAACAGGTGCGGATACAGTCGTCCAATCTAGGCGATTGGGACGTTCTAGTTGGACTACTCCGACCCTATATGTGTAGCATTCTGGGTTAACTAAGGTAAAGTATTTCTCCCCATAAGCTACATAGTACAAACACATGTTTTATATTTAATACTGACCACAAAACTAGTTTTGCACAACTTTCTACGTAAATTACTCCATAAATACCGGTGATAAGAACATACATCGAAATTCCTGGTTCACAATACAAGTCCTGGGGAGCTACACAAAGACACTTAATATCAAAGACCAGCCTATTAAAAACACCTTAATAGCTTTCAACTTACGCTTAATGGGAATTTAATGAGCTACTGCTCTGTTAATTTCTCCTGGTTTACTCGGTGTAGAGAATCACTGGTGCTATTACGATCGTTATTAAGGCGTGACCAATGACTATGGATGGCTCCAGCCCTTCACAACTAGGATGGAACTTTCTCTATCCATTTTTCCTTACATGTAGTATGGAAAGGGATTTGGCACTATCTGACCTTGTTCAAAATACGGCTATTTTTTTACATCCGTGAATAGTTTTATCAGGTTGGTAAGTCGTCGCTGAATAAAGAGACTCTTTTTACCAAAACCAAAAGGCTAAATGTAAAAAAGGGTCTCTTTGTTGAGCTATTTTTAATATTAACATCGTCATGGTTTGGCTTCAACAAGTAAAGAGGACAGTCTTCTCTAAAGTCCACTCAAACTCTTACTGCCTGCCGTTAGATATCCTTATGTTGCCACCACGGCAATGGTCAATTTACAGATACTCTCTTAGTCAAAGACAAATCAAACCTCTACTACTGGATGAATTACGGAGATTACTTACTAATTCGAGTGGCATTCGTCTTTGTCTTGGTCATGTTTAACTGTTCCTTCGCATCTGCTTAGTCATTAGTGTTGACTAGTTCTCTCAGTTCCTGTTTTCGTGACGTTGAAGATGAGGGACTGATGGCACTCGAAACGTCAGGCCAGTAATCTCCGTAATCTATCCAGTAGCAGACTCTAGTTTGATTTGTCTTTGAATATTGTTTACCTGGATGTCTAACCTTCATCAACGTACTGTCTTAGTCAATTTTGTCGTTCTCTTTAAGATGCAGGCTTTCCCTTGAGATGCTAACAGGCACGCTGTTTCCAACCAGGTGGTTTTCTCCCGCCTTTCTGATGACCAGCTGGAGGCTTCCCTCCTCCAGACACTTCAGTGTCGTTCTGGCCAGTTTGTCCGCCTCCGTGTCCACCATCAGTTTCTCCAGTTCTGTGGTCGTTCCGGTCATCTAGAAGTAGTGAAGAATGGCTTATAAGCAATGTAGAAAAGACTTGACGTTAAGAGTTACAAGAGAGGTTAGCGATGGGAGCTTTATTCAAGTTGCAACAACAATGCTTCTTTCCTTCAAACACTTCAGTATTGTTCTGGCGAGTTTGTCTGCTTCAGTGTCCACCATTAGTTTCTCCAGTTCCGTGGTCGTTCCTGTCATCTAGAAGTGAGGAAATTCAGGCTGTAAGTCCTTGTCACACATTCACGAATTTGGCCTCCTGAACGCCTGCCACCCATTGTTAGGAGGTAGGCTGGTGTTCAGCAAATTCGGCTGCGCCAGCGTAATGTTTCAAAATGTTTAAAAGATTCGGGTGTGGAGGAGAGGTTCAGTCATGGTTGGCTCACGGTTGGTTGGTGTTCGGAAGTAGGTCGTGGCGTGAAATGTGACTCATATTTTTAAACTCAAATTCGAATCGATAAAAGACGTAAGCGTGGCCTAAATCTGGTCAGACTGCTCCGGAACGTCAACCAACCTTGGCTGGTGTTCGGGGGGGGGGGGTTCTAAATGTGTAGTAAAAAATAAAGAGTTACAAAAGGGGTGAATGATGGGAACATTAAATAGCACTTATTTTCATACAAACGAGGGGATTTTCCTTTGAGAGGCTGGTTATGCCTTTATGTTGCGCTTATTTCACCCTTTGATACCTTAATGGTCCGGTGTATGAGCTTGGAAACCTTAAGGATTTAGCTACCCAGTGTGTGTCCTACGGCCGCCGCATAAAGGTCCAAACCCACCATGTTATCACTATCTAGAAGCTACAGCCGTGTCTGGCTATAAGGCGCCGTGGCATGGTAATGCGACCATATACCCTGTGCGAAAATGGACACTCCACAAACATAAAACCATCACAATCACTCATACGACACAAGAGAAGGCTAAAGCCAGAAGGAGATACCTGGTCTCTAGTTTATGAACCAATTTCCTGTTTCTGACAGCTAACACATGAACCCAGGATCTTGCGGACGACAGTTACTAAATTCTACGCATTCAATCCCCATTGAATGACTTTTAGTACGCTTCCTTTGCCTTTGTAACGACGTGCAGGGTGAAATGGGCTTGCTCTTATGGCTTTTTCCTCAGCATGTCTTTCGGCATCGGTACCCTGTAATGGTATTGTAATGTACTGCATTGTACGGTGAAGATATAGTATCTTCTGGCGCCACCGAATCGTGTGTCAGATTCAACCTATGACTTGGCCCCTTCTAGAAAATGTCAAAAGAAAAAAAGTTTGGTTTATGTTTTATTTACAGTGAAGATGAAGTATCTTTTTGGCGCCACCGAATCGTGTGACAGCTTTAAGCCTATGACTTGGCCCTTTCTGAAAGGTCCAAAGGAAAAGTTTGGTTTATGACCTATTGCAGCTATAGTCAACTACTGAGTAGATATCGTAGCTACAAAAGATGGAAGAACACGCACCATGGACTTTCTTTTACAGCACTTGTAGTATTTCCAGAAAAGTTATAGGAAAGCTATAGGAAACGGAAAAGGAAAGGAATGGTATAGGAAACCTCTGAGCAGATATCGTACCTACAATCGATTAAAGAATACGTACCATGGACTTTCTTTTACAGCACTTGTAGTAGAGTATTTCCAGCACGGAGACCAAACACGCCAGCACAGCTCCGGCTATCAGCACGACGAAAACTCCAAAGAACGTGTCCAGGCCGAGTCCCTCAGCGCCGGTCTTCGGCGGTCTGCCGAACAGGGAGCAGCCTCTGTTGTTCCACCACTTTTCCCTCAGCTGCGTGATCTTCCCTTTCTCTTGTAGACGGAGAATTCTGTTGGAAATATTAAGTCAAACGTGACTAGTGTAGAGTATAAGTGTAATGTGTAGAATATAGATAGGTGTAGAGTGTAGTTTCCATCTGGCCTTCCTACAGAGGGTTAGGACGGTAGAATGTGGCAATTATAGGGGAACTGACTGGCCGAAGGAGTTGATCCACCGTTAGTGTTTCATTGGACGTAGCTATTTTCCACAGACTAACCTCAGACTAACTGCGCGGGCAAATAAACTGCAGTGGCTAAACTCCCTTTTTCTACGTATTTGAGCCTTGTTTTGTGGCGAACTGTTAAGTAAACAAAAGCAATTTGGTTAAGTTTTAGTGTTTTGAACCCGCGTTCTTAGTCTGGTGGAGACTATGGAGACTTACTGATTATGCGGCATTTATTCATTGCCAGTGCAATGCCCTAATGTTCATTACCATAGTCAAAAGGCTGCTATAAGTGTCGACATATGGCAGAAATTGTTTTCCGGTCGTACGCCTTGTCTGTCTCGTCATGAAGACTGATGCAGCAGGGCTTTCACGTGAACCAAATAAACAACAATTACCCTTTATGACATAATCCACTTGATTCTACATACATCACTGACAAGCTAGAAGTAGAACTGCTGATTGTAAACCAAAGATCAGCAGGTTCCCCATTAGATCGTTCATTGTTTACAGCTGCTTTGGAACCTTGCGGGGTAGGCGTGGTGTCACCTCAAGGAAAGAAGCTTTTAGCTGCCCTTTCAGCAGTCTTATCCGATAGCTTTTCACCTAGATAGAACTTAATTACACGACAATTTCAGGTGGTACAATATATGGCAACAACTATTGACAAACTAGTAGTACTAGTACTAGTATACCGAGACTTGTGCACGTACCCGACTGACAGAGTCTTGCTGAGCGAGCTGCCCCGCTTGGTGGCGATGCCGTAACCACGTGTCATGAAGGGGTTTCCTACCATCATCAGCTGACAACCTTCGTCATGGCGCACTTCGTACTCCAGGGCAGGGTACTCCCCTACAAAAGACACATGTACAATTAAGCTGATAAGTCTATGAATGCGTATCTCAATGGTCGCTGCATCAGTATCTATACTATTGTCATTTTCTGTCATTAGCTATTTCGGAATTATGGCATCTCTTGCGTTTGGCTTGGAACCAAGAGGTCCCGGGTTCGATCCCCTAACATGCACTTTACACGACTTCCCTCCCTGTACAGTGGAGTGACGCTCACCGCGCTTTTCGGCTAATCGTTAATACTGTGTCCAAACACTGATGAGGACACAGACGGATTTTGGGTTGCCAATGCGCCAAGATCTGCATATTTGCCAATACGAACCGACTTTTTAAAGCATCTATGAACATATATATGGAACGTAGTGGCTCTTTCAAGTACGCTTACCAGTGTGCAACATGCTAAGAACGCCATATGTAAAGCCCCACCAAACTTATCAAAATGTTAAGAGTACATGATGTGTTAGTGAAGATGTACCGATGTATGCGTAGTTCCCGCGCCGCGTTCTCTCCACGCCCTCCGTCTGGTTGTCCACCAGCATGTCCGGCTGGGTCTCCAGCGCGTACCAGATCCGGTCAAACACGTTCTCGCTACCTGCAACAACCCATCAAACTGTACCATGTATACGCCAGAAAAACAGTTACTCAATTGTAAGCAACTGGATATGATTTTGGAAACGGTCAGTCGTACCTAGCTTCCATTACCTTTCGTCGGTGACACGGTGAATTCTGAGCACTGATCCCCCACACTTTTACCAAGACAAAAAATACCTTCTCCCGAGTGCAATTGAAAGGAAGTTTGAAATTGGGCCCTTTGATTAATGATGGTTCTTACAGCAAGCAAAATCCCACCGTAATCGCCAATTTTACCGCAGCGCCGCCTGTTATCAGCGTTAATCATGGCATTACCGATGACATTTACCCCAGGATCCGCTCAGAATTCACCGTATCACCGACAAAAGGTAGTGGATACTACCTGAAACGTCTGACCGTTTCCATTCTGCCACAACAACAACAATGTACGAATGAGAAGATCAATGAATGGGCAGTGGGTGAGAGAGAGATCATGCAAAGCACCTTTCTGCTCCCGGAAGAAGTTGTAGAGAAAGTTGCCTCTGACGGTGCCGAACTCCACAGTGGATTGGTGGACCAGATCCTCGAGGGACCGTATGGGGGTTTCCAGGCGCTTTACTGTCAGGAAGGCCGTGAGGTTAGCCGTGTACGTTGCCATGACAATAAGGGAGAACAGCCACCAGAAACCGCCGAGTAGTCTAGTGTGGATGGCGCGAGGGGCCGGCTCGCCACCTACATGGTGGGAAATAGCACATATAGTTGCCGACTTGGCTGTGTAACAAAGATGGAACTGCTTTTGCAACACTTCTAGCATAGAATATGATGGGATGCAAGCAATGCAGTTGCATGAATGGCCTATTGCCATGTACTGGCTGTAGTGATTACTCTTTTCCAATGGAGATGAGTCGCCTGTATTCTACCAATTCTGTCAAACGATGATTCTCAAACCTACCCTGCAAAAAGAGTTATAGTTGACAAACAAGACTTCATTAATATCCGGACCCATAAATAATTTCATCAGGTTGGTCCATGATTGCCTTGATAAAGATGACGTTGACACTTGCTGAAAAAAGTGGTTGTGAATAAAATAAGGAAATTTGCTATTTGCTATGGAAGATTGAGATGAGGATTTACCTTTTCTTACGATGGACCAGTAGGAGAACCACAGGCTGTTCTTGAGGGTGAAATTGTTGTCGTTGTCATTTTCCAGGTCCCCAACTCCGAGTGTGTACCGGATCCTACTGGTAGCCCACAGGAGGAAACCTGAAGTAGAGACAGAGTGTAGCAATTAGCATACACGCACGGTATAATGTAAACTGTATATATGTATATAATTATGTTTATCGAAGAAAAACGCTCTGTTTTCTATTTTTCTCCAAACCAATAAGGTCAATGACCAGAACCAGACGTCTGTCACCGTGGTTACTAGTGTTGGGTTACATCATGTTGCAATTTTATAGTAGGAGGGATTTAGACTCCTTATATAAATTAGTAAGAATTAACAGAGCAGACTACATGCAAAGGTAAACATTATGCATTTGCTTTTGCAAATGTTACCTTTCTAGTTCCGACTGGTTCAGTATGCGTTGCCAGTCGTACTGGAATATTGACACCAACCTGGGTGGTCTGACAAGCATCAGCACGTTCGTAATTAAGTGAACATGGTATCGAAGTTGCTTCTAGTATAGACAGTACGAGGGTTGCACCTACGCAGGCTGTCGTCTAATTTCATGCCAGATGGACCGGGCTGACCCTGAGCTTTGATGGTCCAGTGCTCTTAGTGATAGGAAGAACACTGTCATGTAATGTTTAGATGAGATTGTGCGAGCTTTAACATGGCATTATGGCACTTTGGACGGGTCGCTGCTGTCACATTTTCGGCAGTTGCTCATTCGAACCTGACGAAGGCAATAGTGGGAACATGGGAATATTCTTTCCTTTACGTTGGGATGTGTCAGGGAACAAACTCCGATCTGGTAGAATGGGTGATTCTAACTGTAGAGATCCCGATCGGAGTCTGCTGGTACAATCTGCGATCCATGTTCAGTACATTTACATAGCATGGCAAGATATGTCGGTGTTATGGAAGGCGCATTATCAGTAGCTACCAGTAATGTTTTAACTTTTAAGATATGTTGAGCAATGTTAAATTGTAGCAATAGACTTCATTCTTTCTGCCGAGGAGTCTCAGAAAGAATTATCTACCCATACACATATAGAATTTCAACTTTTGATCGATGATACTGCCCTCTGCGAGTGGTATGAAAAACCGCACTAGCAGTACGATAAGCTGGGTTGCTTTCAAAAATTCGATATGTACATGTTCTGGTTGTATTGCTTGAAGTCAAGTTGTGTACCAGAACTTACCAACTGCAAAGAGGGCCGCAATGATGGACATCCACACCGTTATCTGGAAGGGCAGGAGGAAGGCGAACAGGTTGGGTCTCTCGGCGGCCGGCTTCTTCATAACAAGCCCGTTTCCATAATCCATGTAGGGCTTTGTAAAGTCAACAGCCGCCTCCCGCTGGGAGCTGATGGTCAGCGGGCCCAGGGTGAAGTCTGCTCGCTGAAAAGGGAACAGGTAGATGGTCAAAGATGTGTCAGACAATAGACGCCTGTTACACTTTCAGAACCCTCCCACGAGCACCAGCCGGCCAAGGTTGGCTGAAGTTCGGGAGCAGTCTGACCAGATTTAGGCCACGCCTATCTTTCTATACGACTGGAGTGGAATTTGAGTTAAATTTGATTCAAATTTACTGCCAACCACGCCCTGACCGACTGCCGACTCCCAGCCAATTAGTACCCAACCATCGCCGAACCTCCCGCCCACACCCGAATGTTTTAAACATTTTGAAACATTCAGCGGAATAGTAGCCGGACTTGCTCCCGACATATTCCTAACCATGGTCGGGAGGAATTCGGCTAGTGTTTGGCTATGAGTGACAGGGTCTTAAGGAAGTAGTTCTAGCACAGAAAAAGGCATGGATAGGTGTACAAGTGTTCCTGTTTGAGATGTGATTCCAAAAGGCTGCAAACTTTTGATCCTCGAAGTTTCTCACATCCTGACTGACATTTCAGTGGCCGCGCCATTGGTCAGAGCATTATATAGTCAGCCCATGAACTTTTACCGACTAGTAGCAATATTGATTTGCGTCCAAGGCCAGACGTACACAACAATTAATTACCGTCAGCGGGACTCAGAACTACAGCCCTGCCGGATTACATAACGCTAACGGACTTATGAATCTAGACGTCTTGGGCGCTTTATGGGCCTGCGATGAATTGAAGATGGAAGACCTGGATTTACTCCAGAATGTTAATGGTTTTTTACCAACAGCCCTCGCCATACAAATTTGGTGCTTCAAATTCCTGCGGCTTTTGGGATGCGGGAGTTATATATGCTGTTGCGTGGACATGATTCAGTTGTGAAAGTTTGTATTTCGTTTGGAAATTTATATGTGTCATTACAGAAAATACAGCTGAATCTACATTTTGTGGATGAAGAGATTGAATGATGCAGTAGAACGGTATATATACATTTGTGTGTATGTGTAGATTGAACGATGCAGCAGATCGGTAAAATAGCACCGTCTCCATCATTCACACTTCCTGGATCCATGCAGCTAACCAAATGTATCTATCTATCTATCTGTCTATCTATATATATATATATATATATGTATATTTATATATATACATTTCTGTGTGTGTTAGTACAGAAAATGCAGGTGTATGTACGTTTTGTGAAGTAGATTGAACGATGCAGTAGATCGGTAAAATAGCACCGTCTCGTTCATTCACGCTTCCTGGATCCATGCAGCTTTCAGACATTCGGTATTCACCCTTCGCTTCACCGAACCGAATCACGTTGATATTTCCGGTCAATCGTTGCAGGAAGCTTTAAATCCAGCTTTAATACTTTTAGATATGGATGATGAATTACATGAGCCAAAGAGGAAGAGGTAATGGAAAAGGGTTGCGCCCATGTTTTAAATTCCTTCTCATCATCAAGTATCTAGGGCAACAGATACATAGAGATCAATGATTTGACCCAATCGGTTCACCACATATGGTTTTTGGTTCGATTTTCAGTTAACCTGTTACGTGTTGCTTTTGTAGAATACTTCATTTAGCCTTTCTGATCTATGGCTTCGTGCAATGTGATTTTGTTTCTATTATTCTTCAGTTCTTTGATGCTAACCGTGGATGGATTATTCTTTGAAGCTTCGCCCTTTTCTATTTCATGGATTGCTATTTGAGTAAATAAAGTAAGAAAAATAAACTTTGTACTTTGTATACATAGGATTATCAACAGGTTTTCATAACGAAAACTCACGAATAACCCTCAAAAAATCAACATATTGACGAAACTCTGTCGCCTAGCTGTCTCCTGCTGTCAATACCCAGGGGGGTGCTGTCAAAACTAGAACAGTGGTCTTCAGAAGTTTTAATTAAATATTGACGATCCAGACACAGCACAGAGGAGACTAAAGGGAGGTCTCCAGAAAATATTACCTCTTATTATTCGCATCTTGACTAATAAGATGTATTTAGGACATGCTCTTGGAGACATTGAGGGTAACGGCCCCAAAGTCTATCACGCAGTGTCCTCTCGGTCGTTTGGACCCCTGTCGTCCCAGGGTAGCAACTAAACCTAAGACAGATTCTACTTCGGCGTGCATAAAACGGTATGAATTTTTCATAGACGCGATTCTTCGTCCACTAATGTGAAAATAGCACTTAAAGGTGAGATAAAGACATCATTCTTCTAAGACTATTCATATCAATCGTCTCACCTTTCCTAACAGTCCTTGAACTGAAGAGCCGCAGGGATATGGAAAGTCTTTTTGCACAGGCATAAAATGAGACGTTAAGTTCGAGTTTATGTTTCTTAAAATTATGTGAAGCGGCGCATCATCACGATATATAACCTGAGCAATCGGACCGCTACATCGCGCCTTATGATTTCGCACATAAAACGCTGCTTGGCAGCCTGACTGAAGTGTCCCCAACGTTTGGCAAATTTTCAATCTCACGCCGCCCGCCCATGAAGATTAACCTCGTAATGTATATCTTTTACGACAAAAAGGAAGCCCAAGTGGGGGTAAGTGGTTCAGGAATCTTATTGCGGATAAACCCGTGGTCTGCTGCCCGTAAAACGCGTTACTAGGGATGAAATTTTCCACGCCATAAGGTATCTGTTTGATTACTGGCGTTTCACGGTTCTTCCGAAGGGGGGCATATGGTGCCACATTGCGATAAAACCTTGTCGTAATTGGCAACAAGGAAGGCCATACGTATTTACCAAAACAGATAAGAAATTTCTGTTTTGAAGAATACTGTTGGTCAATTGCAGCTTCTGCATCAACATATTATCATGTTATATCATATTATATTATATTATATTTGGTGGTCAATTGCCGTATCACTTGTTATTACTCAAAGAGAATAGTCAGTAATTACCGATGGTATTTACCTAGCTGTTCTTCCTCCATATGATATATGGGTCAATTGGTATAACAGCCCTTAGGCGTACACCAACAGCTTTGCGAGCTAGCGATGGTCTGTCATGTTGCACCAAACGATGTCCCACACCAAAAGCCCCCAACACCTATTCAACATGTCTTATAAAGCTTGAATATTTTATCAAGGACAGTCATAAATTTCAATGTCGACGCGGTACAATTTGAGCTGTTAGCACAAATAAGTGGTAATATTTTGTTATTTGTGACCATAAAACATGGATGACATTTGGATGTGAATTACAAAACGGTGGCCTGATGGACTCTTGGGTACCATACCAAGGAACCTGGGGAATGCATGCAGTGATGTGTGAAGGAAATCTATAAAAGCACTGTAAGAAAAAAACTAGTAAGTTATCCGAATAACACAGGGCATGTACTGGATATTGACTATATCACTGCAGTACTGAGCACAGCAGTTTTGTAAATTAAGAAAAAAACACAGACTCCTACGCGCAAGGCAACTCTCTCAAATAGCCAGAATATTCATCAACATGAATGTGGTCTATTAAAGGAATAAAAAAACTATTCCGAGTAATTTTTCACATAGACCTTTACAATTCTTCTCACTCGCGATATACTCGGTACAAAGTATGAGGTTATGAGGCATGCAGACCGCGATGCTGTCCGGAATATCTTACGGATTCGAACCTACTGTTGCAAGACAGATTCATTCTTCAGAAAGGCCACACTGATTTAATTTTATGGATGACATCCGTGCGCGCATTGATTTTCGCCTGCTCTAAAAAAAATCATCTCCGAGGAGGCTCTGGCCTGGGCGCCATCCTCCGTAGTCCATGGTAGCCAGCGACAATAGGGAGCCGGCGGTAACTACGGAGGACAGCATCCAGGCTACTGAGGCTCCACGGAACTCAAGAAGGCAAAAGGCCAGAATGTTCCGGCTTCTAAAAGTCGCTATGCACTACCGCAAATTCACAATACCAGCTTTGTATCCCCGTGGTTTAGCAGTATTTGGCAGATTTTTTTTATTCACCCGCGCGTACTATTTTGGGGGGTCCTTATAGGATGTCATCCATAAGATTAAGTCAGTGCGGCCTAACATCATTACAACTTCTTTCCAAACGGCTCTTAAACTGACGTGAACAGATGTACTGCAGCAGCGGCAGATTCGTTCTGCTCCGCTGAGTGTAAATCAAATCATTACTTTTCGCCAAACGTTCTCCCCGTGGGTATGTTAGTTCTTATTATGTCCAACGCGCAGGGATGATAAGAGATCTACCTGGGCGGCGGAACTACCGTTGTCTAATCCGTCTAACGCGGCAATATTCATGACCGGATTGCCGCCGTTCGGAGGTTGGATAACCGCTTTGCGCACAGCCTCGTCTACAAGTCCAGATCTTCATCATTATTGACATATTCTTTGTGCTTTTTTTTACACTATACCACAATCTGCAGATCTATTCAATACATTGTTGTGCATGATGCATTTGATTTGGAAGTTATTCCAGACGTTCATCAATGATGACATGTTCTTCATGCTCTTGTTTGTCGTATACAACAATATTCAGATCTTATTCTTGTGCATGATAAATTTGATTAGGAAGTTAGTCCACATTCGTCCCCAGTATAAGTACACGTTCAAAGGTTCAGAGCTTTGCGCACAGCCTCGTCAACAAGTACAGATTTTCATCACTGTTGACATGTTCTTTGTGCTGTTGTTTGCAGTATACAACAATCTGAAGATCTGCATGTTCATTGTTGTGTATAATAAATTTGATTAGGGAATTTTTTCGCAGTATAAGTACATGGTGCCTTAAGTTCTCGCATCTTAAGAAAGACCCAATCCCCATCATTGTCATCAATGTAGACATGTTCTTTGTGCTCTTGTTTGCCGTATACAACAATCTGCAGATCTACTCATTGTTGTTCATGATGAATTTAATGAGGACGTTAGTTCACATTCTTTTGTAGCTAAGCAAACGCTGACTTAAATTCTTGCATATTAAGAACCTGCATCTTAACCACTCCTCAACACACCCACTAGCACACTGAGGATGTACTGGTAAACAGGAACGTGTTTATCAGCTCTACTCATTTATGTGCATGATTACTTTGATTTGGAAGTTAGTCCACATTCTTTCACAGTTGTCTTAAATTCTCATATATCAATTATTGATATTCAGAAGGACCCACTCTTCAACAAACTCACACATCCACAATTACAAAGGAAATACTGTTGGCAAACAGTAACATGTTCTCGTATGTGCCATAAATTTAAGACTTTGTGCTTTTGCATACAAATTGGTTCTGCATATTAAAAGGATGTGTACTTTTAAAGATAAACGCTTTGCGCTCCGCCTTGATCGTTCCCAGAAGGTTCCCACAAATGAAAAAATACCGACACACCCTGCTGGCGTTGATTAAATCGTGGAAAGGAAATCATTAATAGTGGGAAGATCAATGTATTAAAGTCTTAATGTATTAAACTAGCTCTCGAAGATCTATGCCTGCTAATTAGAGGTAATCCAAATGTATGAATCCTGTGATATACTGTAGTATTTGTGACATGCGGTGTTCTACAGTTGGGAATTGGCCAATAGTCATCCATTATTCTCACCCAATCGTGTGGCCTATATCTGTCAGCCCCAGGACGATATATTCTCCATTACATACGCCATAAACGGCAATTAATGATACCCTAGCAGGACTCCTGAGGACACAAGGGCCAGCTCCGAATGTCCCACGAAGAGGCATTCTGCTGTCTTAGATATCTTCACATATGTAAAATGCATTCAGTAGAAACACTAGGGGCGCACTATAGCCTGTATGTCAGAACCATAGCACATTAGGCCCAAAGTCACTTCGCACACTGGATAACTTTGGGCCTAGTGTGCTATGGGTCTGGCATCCAGGCTATGGGCTAGGCACAGTGAAGACTATGAGCTATTTTTGGAGGAACCCTTGTACCAAAGAAGACCTCGAGACATTCAACCCAGAATGACGATCTTCAGTGAAAGAGGAATTTGCTCAAAGTCTTATATGTCTTTTCACATTATCTAAAATGCATTCAGTAGTAAGCAAAGGGCATAGAAACAGGTAGGGGCACAGTAAGGACTATGACCTATTTACCCTCTTTTCGGAGAACCCTCGCTTGTACCAAATAAGTGCTGAAGAAAATTAAGAAACAAACAAACTTACCCCGTCTATGACCTCCCTGATCATGCCGTCCCAGGACCCTATCTGGACTATTAGCTATCTATTCTCTTTTGGGAGAACCCTAGCTTGTAATAAAGCATTGCTGAAGAACAGTAAGAAACCACAGCAAACTTACCCCGTCTATGACCTCCCTGATCATGCCGTCCCAGGACCCGTTCCTGGTGGGCAGGCCGAAGTTCCCGTCAGGCACCTCGTACAGCGTGTAGTCAAACCTGAGCTCCTCCGCCAGACCCTTCAGGATGTCCATACAGAACCCGTCATAAACCGTCTTGTTGTTCTCCGAGCGGGTCTTGATGATGAAAGGCTTATTCTAGGGCATGGGAGATTTGACGGTGGTCATAAGTATATAGTATCTGTATATAGTATTGATGCGTAGACATTTAGTATTTGGTGTAGGAATGTAGCCTTTTAATGCTTAACCCATGTTGGGAAGGAACATGGATAAAGATTATACACAGTATACCATACATCATATCGTCGATGCTTTTGCTACTCGTACCATATTTCAGATTTATTCCGTTCACCTTATATGTTTTGTCCACTAATAGTATTAGTTTTACCGACATATAAGGTTAGCTTTTAGATTTTGCATAGTTTTAGAGACCAAGAAAGGCATGCATAAATCGTATGTCTTACCTCCACTAGCACAACCCTGTACTTTATTTTGTTTGAAGCTGTTGACGCTGAAACAAAGGACACACACGATTACTCATATAGAAAAAACAACGCTACAAGTTACAATATTCCAGCATTCTCAACTATATATATAGAGAGAGTGATAGAATCTCATTCTTCAGTAGTTTCAATCATTCAGTACAGGAAGTGTTATTGGCCAAGCCTACAATTGCACTTTTTGAGGCTCAATCTAATAGACTGAGTATGGTAACATTAATTGAACGGCAACCCAAATAAAGTGGCCATGGATCTAGTTCAATAGACATGGTAGTTGTACTCGTTAATTCATCGACAGTCCGTTCAGCAAAACTAATTCTGCACCCGGACCCTTCATGCTCCTCTCATTTATGTTTCCTGTTCTTCCAAACTTCTTCCACGTAAAGTCGTTTCCTACTTGACTAGATTGGTCCTTTTACCAGTACAAGGTCTTGGAGGCGTTCCTCGCATCGGATGAAGAATCTTCGGGTGGGTGGGCGACAATTCATTAGGTGCTTCATACCACGAATGACTGATGTTCTGAGGCGACAAAGGCCATGGCCACCTAACCACCGAGTCTCTCTCTCATTTCGTCTGTTGCCTTTGATGACAAATCGTAATTTCCACTGCTGCAGCCAATTAGAATCCGGTCAGGAGGTCCTGGACGTTTAATCAGCTGGCAAGTGAAGTTGCTTTATCACCGAGCAGCTGGTGAGAGGATGCTTTGATAAGATGACCGGGATGGGTTCAGGGTGTCACACCTATCAATCATATCCAAAGTGTCTATTGTGGCTTGTTCTAAGACTGAATGTGTAATTGCCGAGAAAAGTTTCTTGTCGACGATTTTGTGGTTTCCGCGCGTGATTGGGGCAGCAATGTTCTCCTTGCGGGGTATTCTCTAGTGTATAGTAAATTTACAGGTGTCTGGTTCACTGTGCACTGAAGCTAGGTGTTACTGCACTGGTTCACTGTGCACTGAAGTGTTACTGTGAACTGAAGCTAGGTATTACTGGTTCACTGTGCGCCCAAGCAAGGTTTGGAACTATATTATTAGCAGTAAAACATTGCTTTACCATTAACACCTAGCTTCAGTGCATAGTGAACCAGTCGAATTTGCCCTGATGAAGATGACAGACGGAACGTCGAATCTCGTTAAACAAATGGTAGCTATTTACTACATAACACTGTCCAATCGTCTCCACTCCACACTCTTAAGTACGATTCACGATTAGTCACAGCAGGAAGAGTGATGATACAGCGGTTACATGTAGTGAGTATTAAGTTTCATTCACCGCGCTTGCCTCTTGCTCTCTCGTTAGTCACTGTCGCTTTGTTTTAGCGTGCTAGACTTGATGAATCGCCTCATCAGTCAAATGGCAAAGCCGGTTCATGAACACCCTGCACGTAACAAGTTGGTACGGTCCGTGTCTGTGTATTATCTACGTGCACCAGAGATGGAGTTAGATATGCTGTATCAAAATGCACTTTAGCAGAGGAGCAATTCTTCATTTAAGAGATGATACATTGTTTGATATTAGCACTCTTGGAGGGTTCCTATGCTTTAGAGTTACAAAAACGTGTTACAATAGCTGTGTATCGTCTACGTGCACCTGAGATGAAGAGTTGGAAGGGTATGCTATATCAAAATACACTTAAGCACAGGTGCAATTTTTCATGGAAATGTTTAAATTGATGACCCATCGTTTGGAATCAGCTCTCTCGGTGGATTCCTATGTTTGATTCATCATCTACAGCAGGTTCTGCATCTGTAGTTATGAAAACGTCCTCCGGTTGCAATCAATCAGTCAGTCTTTACTTCAAGTAATGCTAGGCAACCATCTTGAGTTTAAAGTTACCAGAAGTTGCGAGTGAAATTTCCCTTGACGTTTGCCGCATCAGGTGTTAGCCATGACCGCATTCCGCGTTATGGAGTATCGACTCAGCATGTGATTATACACTCTTCACGCTTGGTCAACTCTAATCACGCTGCGGGCTAAATAGGCGGTTATTTGTGCAGACATGATATATAGTGTAGCCCGTGGCACCTGGCCTAGTACCACAGCCGAGCTTGTTACATAACCTTGCGGGGTTGGTGCACGCCAGGCGCCCGGCGGTCTAGCGTACAAGTTTATTTATTTATCCAGAGTATATCTCATATCAACGGATCCGTTTTTCAGACATCCCTGGGCACACACATTTAAGAATACAGTTGTGGATACAAAACCATAATTTTATACGGATAACGTTACTAGTACAGACTTATAGACGCAATCAAAGTGATCACGCAGTATGTGAATATAGTCCAAGCGTCGAAATGTTCTCTCAACGGACAAACTCCCTTGGCATGCTTATCTCTCTATTTGGCCGATTTCTACTCTTTCCAGCCTCCTCTCCACGCCTGGTAGAGGCTACAATCAGTTCCCAGTTCCAGTCCCTCTAGCTGCAGTCTGTTTTTAAATGCTGACGTTGATGTAAGTTGCCGGCAGCGAGTCTGGTCCACAGTAGTGGCTATTGCCCTACAGACTGTAGGCTAAATAGGCGGTTATTTGTACAGAAGTGATATATAGGCTAGCCCGTGGGACGTGGCTTACTACCACAACCGAGCTTGTTACATAACCTTGCGGGGTTGGTGCTCACCAGGCGCCCGCTGGTCTAGCGCACGTTCCCGCCGCGGTATGAATTATTTAGAAAGGAACACAACGACAGCGTGTAGTTGCCCCGGGTGCGGACCGATTAAGCCCTGCAACATTTCCAACCTGGTGAGCAACAACATAAAGACTGTCTGACGAGGCAGTGGCATGTGGGGACACGGCCTCTGTAGGGACCTGGCAGTACACTTACCTGTATTTTTCTTGCCTGTTTGGGTTCTGAACAAAAGTGCTGGACGTTTTCTTCCATTATGACCAATGTAAGACTAATACAGTTACCTCCTTCATGCTTGCTGTCATCCATGCCAGTGATAAGAAATATATGTTTTCAACAAGTTGCATTCATGAAATATTGAACACATAATATTCGTAACATACCGTACGGGAATTCAGTTCTCGTTGGAGGTCCTGTCACATTGTCTGTTCCTGTGAGAATAAAAAAAAGAGAAGTAAAGCTCAATTCAGTCTTTCAACATCTCAAAGTAGTGCAAATAAAAAACGAGACAAGCTGTTAGGGATCCGTCTTATAGCCTTAAGAAGGGACACGTCCTTATTATACCTCCGTGAATAGTTTCATCAGGTTGGTAAAGTCACCAAAGACAATAAAATTTTCACAACCAAGAGGTTATTCAGTCGACGTTTCGGTGACCGTCTGCCACCTTCCTCAGGGTGACACCTGTACTGCTGTACAATGTGAACCAGTCAGAATTGCCCCCAAGGAAGATGACAGGCGGTCACCGAAACGTTGGCTGTATAAACCTCCTGGTTCTGTAAAAAGATCGAGGCTCTTTCTTCACGTCCATACCTGCTGAGAAAGGCGGCGTGTCCCCTGTGATGAGTAGCGGCTGTATGGTCGGTGCCTGTCTGCGGGACACTCTGCTTCCCTCCCGGCCAGGCCGCCTGCCTCTGGCCCCGGCTAGTGGAACGGCAAGGAACACCATCAGCAGAAGGAAGAAGAAGTCACTAAATAAAGAGGTTCTATCTTTACAACCAGGTTTATTCAGCCGACGTTTTGGTGACCGCCTGGCACCTTCGTCAGGGCAAGGAAAGTGACAGACGTTCACCGAAACGTCGGCGGAACAAACCTCTTGGTTGTGTGAAAAAGAGTGTCGACGTCTTTATCAACGTCCTTACCTGAAAGTGGAACGGTAAAGAACACCATCACAAGAAGGAAGAGGGAAGGTCTTATAGCCACCCCTTCCCACCCCGCCATCTTAATAGGCTTTGACGAGGTGGAAACTGGTTACTTGTGTCACGTTCACGAATTATTAATCTGTCGGCTCTCCCTTCAGGCGCGGGTGAGGAGCTGTACGGATTGGTGCCGGGTGGATTTTTACGGCGTTCTGCTGAATATTTTACACGGACGCGATTATTATCCCATCTGTACATGCTTACATCTTTTCCGTCGTACCAGCACACCCATACTTAAAAGTGGTCCCATGCTTTCCGGCTAATAGATCATAGTTCTGGGTTTCTGAATATTTTACATGGACGCGATTACTGTTTCATCTGTACATGCTTACACCTTTTCTGTCGTGCCAGCAGCCCCAATGTTTATAGAGAGGCTAAAACGTTAGGTGTAACAAGTCGTTCGGTGCAATGTAGCTAGCTGACGCCGCGCCGCGTGAATACGAAGCTAATGTGTTAGGTAAAGGAGCGGTTCTACCTACAGACGTTACAGATACAGATTCAGACTGGGCAATTTTTTATTTCTTTTAAAAATCTAGTAGACAACTTTCGAAAAATTTCTAATGTTTGTTACAGCAATGAACATGCACTATTTAAAATCGCTTTGCTTGTCATATTGTACATTATGCTAGTTTCAAAGCGGACCAACACTAGTTCGGTCCTGTTCCTAAAACTCCGCGTGACAGCCAAACAGATGACAAGTTCCCAACAGTTACTTTTGATGACGTCAGATCACGTCGTGCTTGTAAAAAGTCGTCTGAAAAACACGCAATCACCCCTTCCCGTAATAAAGGGAACGACTTTCGCGCCAACACTCTCGGAGGACTCTTCACCCCAGGATGACCCCTTTTACACCACATCTTACGTCCCTCGCACATCTCCCTAAGTGAACCAAAGCATCTGCCTCCTGGCGGGAACACCAAAACTGGCGTTTAGTTTGGCCTCAAGCGCCACGTCCATGTTCCATGAGCGCACACGTAGTGTCACTAGCGAACGATTAACATCCCTAGATGCTAGATAGGACAGTGAGTGTAACAGTCCCAGACTTCTATCTGCCATTCTGGAAAGAATGTAGTTTCTAAAATTGAATTTTGCCAGTAGCACAAACTTGAGAAGAAAAGAGTTCTGTATCGCATGTCTCATCACGGGAATACTTAACAGGACAGTCTACTTCTTGTATGAACTTGAAATACCTTTTATCTGTATTTTGTTAATGTATACCGTAAATTTAAGCACGGTGCTCTATGGGTACCCTGTGTTATTGTGTGACAGTATTATCTTATTTTGTATTGATGTATACATGTTAAGGGCCACAAAAGAATAGCTAACAGAGATGTGATGATGTCAAGCTAAAATATGGATCCCAATAAAGTCGTAAAGCCGTGCTGCTATGGCCATGGTCTTTCGCTGTATGCAACCTTGACAAAACTGCAGTTCCCCTTGTCTTTGTGCTGTAATAAAAACTACCAGATGCATGTTTACCCTTTTAGTCCCATTCCCGCCTGTTCTATCCTTGAGCCTTGCGGGTATGGTTTAACCACAGAACGTGCAATTTTGTAAGATATTTTAAGTAACCCCGGAGGAATCATTCCGCCAAGAGCGGGGAGAACTCGTGACGAGTGGCAGAACTTTGGCGCTGATATAATATTAATAACCTTTATTGTACATCCATGCCCTACCGGGCTAAGTACAGGCGAACAGATAAAATAGGTAATATACATGTTTGTTGTACAAACAGCTCTAAATCTACTCTAATACAGAAGTTCGGCTTCTTCTCGTTTCTTTGTGATGTTAAAAATATAATTTGAAATGGGTTTGTATAATACAGGATGATCAAAGCGCATAAGAAAGATAAATTTTTCAATATTAGGCAAGTGTTGGAAGTATGGAAACGTACTTGTAATATATCTAAAAAGATCATTTCTTTCATTACTATATAAACTACAATCAATAACAAAGTAGGCTTCGTCTTCTACTTTGTTTGAGTTACAATATTGGCAAATCCTTTGCTCCAGAGGTGTGCGGTTGTGCCTTCCTGTAAATCATCGAGAGACGCGCCGCCTCCAGGGTGGCATATATCAGGATGGCAGGTCGGCGACGGGTTAAGTAATGTGTTATCGAGTACTTATACTGTTCTTTTGTGGCTGTTTTACAGTCAACGTGTGAATATCATCGAAAGTTTAATGCTGTTTAGGGAGTCAGAGATAGTACTGAGTGCAGGTTGATCTATCGGCGTCCTTCTCAGTAAGTCGGTACTTACAGATCTAGTGTGGTAAGATTGTACATTGTCATTGAACCTTTGAGGAACTTTGTTGTCACTAAAAAACTTCACATAATAAGACTAGCAGGTAACGAATGAAACAATGCAACTGAGATCTCGACACCCATGAACGACTTACGTTAAATACACGAAGGTATTCTCTACATGCTAGTTTTGTTTCTTCTTTGGAGATTTGTAGATATTTCATTTCGTGAGGGATCTATATCCCAAAGTAAAAACATTTGCCATAGTTGCCAACGGCCTATGAGACAAAGAGGCAACAGACATGAGTTGTCCTATCCTTTCAGAATGCTACTGTACGTTGCAATCTGTGCTACAAAATGCACTAAAATATAATTAGTTCCAGCGAAAATTAATTCATAAGCCTGTGCCTCATAGTGATATATGATGCTAACTTTATGTTGTTGTAGTTGCAAAAGTTTGGTATATTTTATAAGTTTCTACCTGGGTGAGTATGTTCCTGTCACCATGTCACTTTCATTTCAAATTTTAATAATAAAGTTTCCAGGTCTTTTTCATTAGAAAGATTACCATCGAAAACTCATCATGCCCGGCGGCTAGTAAGATATCTAAATCACCAACAATGTGACAACTGGGAGAGATTCCACAGACAAGGATGTTATCTTAATTAAGCATGTTGCATTTCCGCGCTGCAGGTGGCGCCACCAGGTATTTTGACGGTACGAATTAGGAAGAGACGGCGTCACTATAGACGTAAGGACTGCCAAATGTGACGTTTTAATACCCGTGCAATAATGAAAAAAGTCTATTTGGATTTGGAGATGATAAATGATTATATGAGCCGCTGTATTAACGGATTGATGGCGCCTCCGGAGCGAGTCCTGATGTTAAACGTAAGCGGATACGGTCTAGTTTATGAATCGTGCTCTCCGGAAAGTGAGGTTAATACGACGTGTAATAACCCCTTATCATTTTCTAGACCTCTTCTATATGAGAATCTACTCCTAGACTGTTAGAAACGTCAGCCTTGTGCGTGTATGATAACCGCGAATTCAAAAGCTCACAACCAGAAGTGGAAATAAATTGTTGTGTGAACAATATTGAACATGAAGTCAGCGAAGTTTACTTTCAAAACTTACCGTAACGATAGAAACAAACTTACAATCTGAATTCAAAAGTGCACAAACAGAAGAGGAAATGCGTTCTTGTCAGAACAACAGTGATCATAAATTCAGCGAAATGATTTTATCTCGGAGGAGAAATTAACCGGGCCAGGAAAATAACGAGGAAATTCTTCCCAACCCGTCCCATATCCCATGCGTCTACTTTAGAGGAGTAAAATAAAGTAAGACCTTGCAGAGCTGGGCTGTGGATGGGAGGGTGGGGACAAGCAGCTGACAAGAGACCATGGAGAAAAATGACAGCCTGTCCACAGGCGAAACCGGGCCTGACAGGCTAAATAAAAGTTCTAAACGGGAACTATGCGGCTCCAGATGTCTTACTGATGGACGACTGTATGTGATAGATGTCAGTTAGCTTGAGGAATGGCTCCACTCTAGATCTACTACTATTAACGACGGCCTCAGTAGATGTAGCTACTGACATGTGGCAACCATGGTGATGATGATGATGATTAATTCATGTGTGTATGTTGTGGCCTGCAGCTCCTCAATGGGCAGGGGCGCCACTCCCTGTCCGCCACCTAAAGCAGGGTGGCGGTGAGTACCCGTAACTATTGTTAAGAACTACATGGTGCTAATGGCATGCTTGAAGGCCTGTAATGTCTTGGATTTAACAATATTGGCCCATAGAGCGACATACAGTGATAAATTCATCATCATCAAAACTTGTACGAGCGACCACCCCATCCAATACCCCTACCTCAACCGTGCTGGAGCCCTCAACCGATTGAGATTTGCACGTACTGCGAAGAAAAAGAAGGGCCCAATTACATGTACATGTACAATATTATCATATGATGGGTAGTGCCATAGGCGTCTGCACTGTAGTCTGTACTAACCTAGGCTTATATTCTTAGTTCCTCTTCCTTTAGAGGACGTTTCCTTGCGGACTGTTCAGAAGTGGAGAGGTGATTTATCACTCGTACCTGAGCCATGATTGATGAGTCTGATTTAACAAGCCCTGTGGATGTACTACACTCTCGTAACGTTTAATCCGCCAGCGCCGTGAAAGTACTACTCGCTGGGATGTTGTAGCGCTGCGGCAGTTTCTGTTATATCACCGGATGTACGGATGTAAGCTCTTTATAATAACTGTGCTAGAAAATTGCTCGTTTGCCGTCTTTAATGAAATAGCCGGACTTCCGACTTCAAGCTGTCGTAACAGCAGCTTGTGGTAGACTCATCGCATAAGCTTTTAGACCCGTTTAGTAATTACCTTTTAGCACGTCGGCTGCAGGCGAAGCACTCGTCGAGAATCAGCAATGATGCAGACTGTTGGAACGTGCAGGCTGATGATTGTTGTGGGGTCGTGTGGCGTAGTGGCAGAGTGCGCGACTCGGAACTTAGAGTCCCGGGTTCGAGTCCTGACATGCCGATCTTGTGCCCTTGGGAAAGACACTTTACACGACTTTCCTCACTCAGCTCAGGTGTAAATGAGTATTGTCCTGTCGTGTATTTGTCCCCTGTGTTGGTGGCGGCATTAATATAGGTTGAAAAAAACTTGAGTGTGTCGTCACCACGTCTGGTGATTACTGGAATAAAAAAAACGTGCAGGCGGGAACAAAAATCTGAGTCTGATGTTCTTTGTTTTGTTAGCACAGC